TACAAACGTCGTCACGTGATCCGTTTTGTCGCTCGAACGGTCGGTTTCAGCCATAGACATATTATATCTAGACCGAGCGTTAAGGAGTGGGGGTATAGGCGCACGTAGAAAGAGAGACACTCTGTTGTGTGGCTGTTCGTTCTCTCTCGTTTCGCGCATGCGTACGCAAAATAAGTGTGATGGGAGGGAGGTATTAAGAAAGAGGAGCGAGGTGGAACGAGAAACTAAAACTTGGAACATGAAACGGCTAGAAGTTGCTGTAGGACCACAGAGTAAATACGTTTATACGTTTTACATATAAAAAGATAATGCTTTTTACGGCGAGTTTGTTTATCGGTATTTATTCAAGTTTATAAAAGGACGCCAATAAAATAAAGTAGTGAAATAAAGTGCCTGGGGAACGTGAAAACTCTCTTTCTCTATGGTAGATGGTGACTATATATATCAAACGTTAATAAATACTATAAACAGATGACGTAAAAAGCAATATCGCAATTTATACGTAAAAAGCATATTACTCTGTGGTTCTGCAGCTACGGCATAAAGTAAATACCATCAACATTAGGAATAAACACAAGTTGTATGTATTGGTTGTTAAATATATATATATATATATATATATATATGAGCTATTATAATCTTAAAATTGTTACTATTTTAAGTGATAATTATTTTTAATATTTTATAGCAAAAGTGTGGCTAAATTGCCGAAAATTATGAAGTGCCACATATGTTACAAAGAATGGAATCCTTCGTTTCCATTGCAATTTCACAGGTAATGTATAATAAATCTGAGTATGGTTAGATTTTATCACATATATATTTATTTATTATATATAAATATTCTTCAACTTCAAATCAAAATAATGTAAAGTATTATATGTTTATAGTTTTCCAAAAGATATGCAGAAAGGCGGAGGATTCTCATTCAGGGAATTGCAATGTATAAAATAAAGTCTAATTGAATACCAAATAAATATAAATAAGGTATAATTATAAATAAATATATAAAATAATTAAGGTATAATTGAATACAAAATAAAATCACAGATGTATTGGAACTGTTGCTTAGCGTTTATTAGGATATACTTATCGTTTACATATAAAATGTTATAGTATTAATGTGTTACATTAACATAAAATAAATATTAACAATTAATGTTATAGAAACATATAACATTAAGTGTTGTAGTATTAAAAATGTATAGAGTAGTTTTGTTTATATACTTTTAAAATAGCAGAAAAAACTTTAACATATGTATCTTATTCAGTATTATAATTCGAATTTTATTGATTTTGAAAAAGTGTTAATTTATTATTTTTCATTCTTATTCTTCGGGTGGAATTTGTAAGCGTTGTACTTTCATGTTTAAGACGCGCGTTGAAAAAAGTTTTCAAAATTAGTTTTATTATTTGACTTCGGTGATCAAACAATGGAGACTGTTCATAAATATGTCTATCTGTATTAAATACATATGAAGGAAGTGAGCGGAAAGATTGACATATTAAAACATTTAATATATTTTTAGTTGTAAATAATTTGTCTTGATTACTTCTGAAAGTTTTTTCTGCGTTCTTACATATTATAATAACATCAGGTGATGCTACATACAAACCACCGCGATTTTTTCGTTGTAACAGTTTACCAGTAAATGTGTTTGATTCTTTCTGTGCCTCGCTTGCAATGAGCAATTGTTTACAAAATAAGCAATCAATTTTGTGTGTAATAGTTTTAGCAACAAATCCAGACATGTACGTAATAACTTCCTCAGCATATTCAGTTAAGTACCAATTATTGTTTTGATTGAAATAATCATGATCCATAAAAATAGCATTTGCAGCATCTTGATCAGAATCATTATCTGCGTTTTGTTGTACACTATGTGCAGTTACTTGCTCGTTTCTTACAGATTCATTATTAGATACATTAAGTAGTACAGTGTCGTCTTGTGGAATGCAGTTTGCACTTAAAGGAACAGACACATTTGCTAAATGTAATATTTTTCTATAAGATGCTTTGAATTGTTTCGCACTCGGATTATTGTTCCAACCGTTCATTCTTCTAATCAAAGAAAAGAAAGTTTCAATGTGGTCTTGGGATAATTTGTATGTTAACAAAAACTCTATTGTATTTTCATTAAATAGCTGTTCTGCTAAAGCAATACTATTTTGTAAATCAATAACAAACCCAATAAAGCCTGTTTTTCGTACACTTTGAAGTACAGGAACGTCTTTAATTTTTAAAGATTTAATATATAAAACAAACCTCTCAATGTTATCTTTTAGAATACGTATTTTATCTTTCGTTATTGCTCGTTTGGTTTCTGTTTTATTATTTAAATTTTTAGAATTTAATATGTCAAATACGTCGTTAAATGTCTTGCAAAATGTCGCGGTTGCTGAAGCTCCGGCAAAATGAGGTAATTTTAAGTCATATTCTCCAAACCCAAGTGCAGCAGTTACCGAATTACTGAAAACTTGTGCTGCTAAATGTACTTTCATTTTTTCGTTGTAAAAGTATACATGTCTACTTCTAACTTTAGTCGCAAGGTGTAATTTTTCCGCGTCTTGTAACGAAACTAATTGCCGTATAAATTTCCAACTAATTATATGATTTTCGTTATCACTTAAGTCTTCCTTACCAAGTGCATTTCTAACAAGTTTTATCATGTGACACGCGTCATAAAAAATATATATACGTTTAGACTCATCAGCGGGATGGACAAAATATGGTACAATCTGTTCAATTTCAGTTTGTTTCAAACGTGCGCCCAATTCTTCACACATAGATATATTGGAAGATACTCCATCAAACGTAATACTGACAATATCTAGATCGTTTTCATGAAGTGCACATAAAATAGTCTTTAATAACTTTGCTTTTTCACGGCCATTTAATTTATCAGTGAAGTAATACGCAATTGGAAGTTTAAAATTCTGGTTTATTGCAACTAACATAAAGACAAAAATTTCACTAGCAAGCGGCACTTTATCTTTAGCAATGGCACCGATGTCAACAAAACCATGTGATTTTTGTCCATCCCAATCAACACTTTTTCTAATACTCATTTCATCGAAAGTTAAATTAAACACTATTTTCTTATTTTTTTCGCGAGCATTTCGAACTACATTACGTACGGTTTTTAATGCTTGGTCAGATATACCGGAGTCGCTACTAATATTTCGCATCTATGTTCGAATAGTAGTTGGATGTGGAAGACATTTTAAAAACGTTTTTCTTAGGAATGAATATGCCGCAGGGGAGTGAAAATGGAGCGTACAAGCAAAACATCTCAAAGCGTGTGGAAAAACTTTTGGCTTTCGCTCATTTAAAAGTCTTGTTAGTAATTCTTCTACAGGACCAGGCACTACATCCTATAAGACATTACGATATTATCTCATTTACCACCCGTAACGTGATAAATTACATCATTTATACTTTACCGAAGTATTCGGGTTCTCTATACGTTTATATACAATTTCGAAATAAAATAAAAAGAAACTTGTTATTTTAACTTCTTACATTTACCTAATTACTTTTACATTTACATGATTACTTACTTTTCTTTACTTTCTTACTTTCTTAATTGTTATTTTAACTTTTAAGATTTACATAATTATTTTTACATTTACATAATTACATACTATTCTTTACCTACTTTCTTTATATTATATCTACATTTACTCTTATTATTGTCCTAAATACAATTTTAATTTCAGCACTGCCGTCCTAAATACAATTTTAATCTCAGCAGTGCTTATATTAACAAATACTTAAGTATAATACTTGCTGGTTGGCAATCTATTAAATGACTTCTGTACAAATATCAATATGGACTGCACATTTTTATGTTATATTTTTATATTCGTAACAATTACTGTTAACTAAAATATAATTTACAAGTATTTTAAGTTATTTGTTAATTACGAAATACATAAAAATCTGCAATTTCAAAGCATTATTAATTACTAACCTTCAGGGCATTTGCAACATCTTCTGTTACCAAATTTTTAGCTTTCAACATTTGTGTCATAGATTGCAGCGATATTAATTTTTTTTCTAATTTTGACTTTCGTGCAACAGACACTTTGTTTAAATATCTATTATATCGTAGATATTTTATAAATGTTATCCAAGCATTACTAGTGAACTCTGTTTTTTTTAAACATTCTACATTATGTTTACCAGTTTTGACGAAAACCTTTTCAACTTCGTCAATATTACATCGTTTTCTGAAACAAAAGTTTATTTATAATATTTGCAAATTGGAACAAATTAGAATGTTTATTTTTGTGTTTGCCTTACCTTTTCCCACTGCTATTTCTTTTTGAAAGTATTGCTCCATTACTAGTATTATTGTCACCATTACTAGTATCATGTTCGATACCCATTATTAAGTCTTGACTGTCTTGTGTGTTTGTTATATTGCTTGTGTTTTCTCCGTTTGTAGTATTATTGTCACCATTAGTAGTATCATGTTCGATATCCATTATTGAATCTTGATTGTCTTGTGTGTTTGTTATATTGCTTGAGTTTTCTTTGTTTTGACGAGATCTATATGAAACAAAAAACATTTCTTTATATCTGATGCTTTATGTATAAAATATATGTATATCTATATGTACAATTTTTATGTAATAACCTTTTACTATAATAACAATAAATAATATAACCTTAATAAAAGTATAATTTATTTAAAAAAAAAATCGTAATCTTATCTTATTGAAAAGTCTATTGTTACCTTTGCATAAAAATAGATGGAATTGCAGTTTTGTATAATCTTTTACATGGTACAGGTGTGCCACAGTAATAATAATCTTTCTGTGCAAAATGATCACTGCAAATTCTTGCATTTTTGTAAGCACTGATAGTGTACCCAATGCTAGCAAACCATTTTTCTCGCCTTTCTGCATCTTTCGGAAAACTAAACATAATACTATACATTATTTTAAATTAAAGCTGAAGAATATTTTTATACCGAATAATATATTTATTCCGCCAGTGATTATTAACAGAAATAATTACTTTAAACCGACTTTACAATATTTAACATCGATTGATCTTTCCGATATGAACATCCGATATGAAAAACTGCGAGCCAACTTGGTTTGTCGGACACAGTACTTTTTAATCAATCGTCGAGATGTTAATTCCGAGACGTATAATATTTTTATATAAAAAAATACACATGTGATAAAATCTAACCACTTCCAGATTTACACATTACCTGTGAAATTGTCGTGGAAACGAAGGATCGAATTCTTTCCAACATATATAGCAATTCACCATTTTTTGCAATTTTAGCCACACTTTGGCAATTTCAGCCAAGCTCCTCCGAACTGCGTTTGCGTTTCTGCCCGCGTGCCTGTGTGTGTGGGTGCGCGCGCGCGTCCCCGACGCCGTACGTGCGTCGCGCGTTCTCTGGGTCCTGCGGGTTCCGTGGGTCCTGTGCCGTAACCGTGCCGCGCGTACGGGATGTAGGGATGGGCGAGCGGGCGGTCGGACGCACCACCACGGCCACCACGCACGGCACGCACCACGTCGCGTGTCACTCCCTCGGCCTCGGTCGTCGTCGTCGTTTTCTTTCGCTCACGCTCTTGCTCTTGCTCTCGCTCGCACGCGCGCGCGTCCTCGTCGTCGTCGGGTCTCCTTCCTCGTGCCACTGGTCCACGGGCTCGGGACACCTGTCGCGATTTCGCGCACCGTGATATCCGGCCTCCGTGTCGGTCCCCGTCGGCGAGTCGGTCGACGGACGAGCGATCGGTCGATCGTAACCTGCCAAAAGTACCAAACTCCGCACGTTCACGCACGTTGTACGCGTTCCAGCACTTCACTTTGCACAACGCGGTTTCCGCTTATACGCACTTATACGGCCATAACCAATTTCAGCACTTCTAGCCGTTCTGTTTCAGTCGTTTCAGTTCCTTGTTCCTTGTTCCACCTCGCTCCTCTTAATGCCTCCCTCCCATCACGCTTATTTTGCGTACGCATGCGCGAAACGAGAGAGAACGAACAGCCACACAACAGAGTATCTCTCTTTCTACGTCGCCTATACCCCCACTCCTCAAATTTGAGCATATGCTCGGTCTAGATATAATATGTCTATGGTTTCAGCGGCTCGTGAAAATCCAGCAAAACATCTCGAGGAGTCGAGAGTCGAGAGTTTCCCGCCGAAACGGATTTTAGCGGCATTTTGGCCGTTGCTGACCGGAAAGGAAACAGCTGCGCCAATAATTAGAAGAAGAAGAGGATTTTAGCGGCGTGACGTGCTGGTTGATAGTTGATTTACCAATTACCTTTATTTGGTCTTTTAAACAAAAGTAGCCGGTTTGCTCGCGCGAGATGGAGGGCTTTGACGATCCGGGCGTGTTCTTCTCTGACAACTTCGCGGTGGACGAGGATCACGAAAATCGCGTGAATCTCCAACACTCGAAGAAGAAATTCAAGGAATTCATCCGACAGTTTCACGAGGGTAACTTCAACTATAAATACCGGTAATAAGAAACATCGATTTACTTCGCATATCCGTGATTATGTCCGATAATTCAGTATCGTTTTTAATTTCTTCAGGGATACTTTAAAGCGCAATTACAATCTCTGCCAATATTGGCTAGAGATCAATCTCGAGGATTTAGCAGCTTTCGACGAGTCGCTCGCGGAAAAGATTCAAAAGCTCCCGACAGAATACGTATCCGTTCTGGAGGAGGCTGCGAAGGATGTCGCAGATGAGCTTACAGCACCACGACCTGAGGGCGAGGAGAAGATGGAAGATATTCAGGTGTTGCTGTGTTCAGACGCTCATCCGAGCTCGCTGAGGGGAATGAAGGTGATACCACAATTATCACGATGCGTAAAAACGAGTTCACAGTTCACAAGTTTACACACGCATAAAGTTACACTATCATAAATTTACAGGATGTCAAATTCTTTATGTAATCAGCATTGTTTGTCATGTAAAATTGTCCTCTAAACTTGTTAGACCAAGCAAATATACAAAACGTTTAGATATATGAGTTCTTATAATTGTTTCACTTTCAGCCAGATATTGTTTCCAAGCTCGTCAAGATTCCTGGTATAATTGTGTCAGCATCTGGCATTAGATCAAAGGCAACAAAGATTGCGATACAGTGTCGTTCTTGCAAAGTCACTCAAGTAAATATTCCTATCAAGCCGGGTCTGGAGGGATATACGCTACCCAGAAAATGTTCTACGTAAGCCTCTTTTCATAAATACTTGATTGTTCATTTTATAAGGTATTGCTCAAATAATTTTTGTTATTAGGGAGCAAGCTGGTCGTCCAAAATGTCCTCTGGATCCTTTCTTTATAATGCCGGATAAATGTCACTGCGTAGACTTTCAAGTGTTGAAGCTTCAGGAATTGCCAGATCACATACCACAGGGCGAAATGCCCAGACATTTGCAGATATATTGTGATCGGTATTTATGTGACAGAGTTGTGCCTGGCAATAGAGTTTTGATTCTCGGGATATATTCTATTAAAAAGGTGTCTAAGGCCGGTGGTAAGGGTGCAGGCAGAGAGAAGGCGTTAGTAGGCGTTCGAGCTCCATATATTCGCGTTCTTGGTATCTCTGTGGATGGAGAAAATACCAACATAGGTACTGGCACATTAATACAAAAACGAAACGTTGCTGAAAAGTATCAATTAGTGATCTGTTTATTTATTTCTCTTTTCTGTGTTTCCTATGTAGGAACTCAGCCACCCGTTACATCCGAAGAAGAAGATCTTTTCATTCGTTTAGCGGCAGATCCTAATCTGTACGAGAGAATTGCGAAGAGCATAGCTCCCAGTATTTTCGGTGCAATAGACATCAAGAAAGCTATCGCGTGTTTACTATTTGGTGGATCGAGAAAACTAATGCCGGATGGTTTATGCAGGAGAGGCGACATTAATATTTTAATGCTGGGTGATCCGGGTACCGCTAAGTCGCAGTTGTTGAAATTTGTAGAGAGAGTCGCTCCCATAGCTGTTTATACATCAGGAAAAGGTAGTTCCGCAGCTGGTTTGACAGCGTCTGTATCGAGAGATCCAGTAACTGTAAGTCACATTCTCGTTAAGAAATACTTTTTGTTATAATTTTTGTAATTAATTTAAATAAGTAAATTTATCTTAATTTAAAAATATATATATACACGATACATATTTTAGAGGAATTTTGTCATGGAAGGTGGAGCAATGGTTCTCGCGGATGGTGGAGTTGTTTGCATAGACGAATTCGACAAAATGAAGGAGGATGATCGAGTGGCGATACACGAAGCTATGGAGCAACAAACAATCTCTATAGCGAAGGCGGGAATAACGACAACTCTGAATACACGATGTTCCGTTTTAGCCGCGGCGAATTCGGTCTTCGGCCGCTGGGACGATATAAAGGGAGAAGAGAATATAGATTTTATGCCGACAATCTTGTCACGTTTCGATATGATATTTATTGTTAAAGATGAGCATGAACACAACAGGGATATAACTCTAGCTAAACACATTATGAACATTCACTGTAATGCTGGTCAGATCACAGAACAATCGGTAGAGGGAGAAATTCCTGTGCACATTCTCAGAAAATATATTAATTATTGTAGAACGTAAGTTTACCGTATCTTATTGCACATAACGTATACATCTCGTAAAATCCAACATGTTTTTTTTTTCCATATCATAGGCGTTGCGGCCCTAGACTCAGTGCAGAAGCAGGGGAGAAATTAAAAAATCGTTACGTAATGATGCGAGCTGGTACAAGAGAACATGAGAAAGATTCTGAAAAAAGATCATCGATACCTATAACAGTCCGGCAGCTTGAAGCGGTTATACGAATCTCCGAAGCTTTGGCCAAAATGCAATTACAACCCTTCGCTACTGAACTCCACGTTAACGAAGCTTTAAGGCTCTTTCAAGTGTCTACATTAGAAGCTGCAATGTCTGGATCGTTAGCAGGTACACTGCAAATTAATAAATATATAAAACACTAAAATTGCTAAACAAATATCGTTTAATCTTCTTTGGATCACGTATACTTAGTCACATAAAATATAAAAATTACATTAAAGATATACATTGCAATATTTTATATATTTCAAGTGGTATATTATATTTGATATACACAGCCAAAGAAAATACTTTGCACATACAAAGATCATAACTTTGTAACATAATTTATTATCAGGGGCAGAAGGATTTACCTCAGAAGAGGATCATGAGATGTTATCTCGCATTGAAAAGCAATTGAAGAATAGATTTCCTATTGGACATCAAGTATCTGAGCAAAATATAGTGAAAGATTTTCTTAAGCAGTCATTTCCAGAACGTGCTATTCACAAAGTTATACATACAATGATACGCCGCGGTGAACTTCAGCATCGTTTGCAACGGAAAATGTTGTATAGGCTGCATTGAAGAACAACAGAAATTTCGCCGATGTATAATTACATAATACGTATAACGTATCGTGCTCGTTTGGTATGCTAATTGTAATTCTTTCTCAACTATTTTGATACAAACTAATGACTTGCGCGTTAATTTACGATTATGGAAGTTCATTTTTAAATGGATAATGTGGGTGATTTTGAATTCTGAAATAGATATAATAATCATATGTAAGTAAATTTTACATGAAATATATCATTTTTATAAATTAAAGTTCTGAATACATTTACAGCGAAATAGTATCTATTCTCTAACTTACCCTTTAAAAAATAAGAAATTAAAAATTCTTCCATTAGCACCTTTATCTAAGGTATTTAAGACTTTCATATTCTCCTCTGTTAAGGCAAAATCGAATAAATCGATATTCGACTTGATTCTTTCGGAAGACGAACTCTTCGGGATAATTACAACACCTAGTTGTAGTAAATGACGCAATAAAACTTGGGCTGCTGTCTTTTTATGCTCCCCAGCAATATTTTGAATAATCGGATGATTTAACAAGTCGGGAAATGCGTCTGAAGTGTAGTTATATTTCGTTTGAAAGTGCGTCTTTGCAGCTGGAGAGCCCAATGGACTATAACCCGTTACAACAATATTGTGCTTCTTGCACAATTCTCGAATTGATATCTGCTGCATATAAGCATGCAACTCTACCTAAAAAATTTTAAACGTTATCTCGTTTATATTATCGACGAGGATTAAATTATATAATTATTTATCTATAACAGATAAATTTACATAGCAATTAATGAATAATTTACCTGCAGATTACTTGGCTTAATTTGTGCATTTTTCCAAATTGTCGAAATCTGTTCTTCGTTGAAGTTGCTTAAACCTATAGATCTGGTACGTCCCGATTTAACTTGTTTCTCCATCTCCTACAAAATAATCCTGATCACTCAGAGATCTCTTTTATATTATAGTAATGTGTTATATGATTCTCTAATGTGATTCCATACTTTCCACACCAAGACAGGATCTGTATTAAAGTCGAGTATGTAATTTCCATCTTCATTCGTCGCTGCCGTGCACATATTTTCATCTAATTTAAATGCGAAGGGCATGTGGACAAGGTACATATCTAAGTAATCCAATCCAAGCTTCTCCAACGACAATTTAATGAACTTTTCTACGTCGGATGGTCGATTGCCAAAATGGGGTAACTAAAAGCATTAAAAGATTCTTTAAATACAGTTGTTTGAAGGACAGCAATTATATAACACTTGTAATCATTAAGTAGTAAATTGCGACAGTAATTAGTCGCTGTATTGAATTCATACAGTACACTACCTTCGTCGTGATAAAAAGTTCTTCTCTAGTACCACCTTTCTCAAACCATTTTTTCAAAGCTCTGCCGATCGCATCCTCGTTATTATAATTTGCTGCTGTATCAATATGCCTGTAACCATACTCTAAGGCAGTGCTCACGACAGTTTCAATCTCATCTGGTTTAGCCTGGAAACAGTTTTACACCCCTTACCAGATTGTTTCATACATGTACAATTGATAATCATGACATAAAAAATATGTGATCGATGAGATATATTATTATCGCAGAGCATTCTAATATCATTTTATCACCTGCCACGTTCCCAGTCCCACTGTGGGCATATCATATCCTGACAGCAATCGTACAGAATGCATGTTAGATTCTCATCAATATTGCATTATAACTAAATGTAGCACAGCTGTCACATTAAATGTGTTAAAGCAGCATTGCTATTTGGAAGCAAGTAGGTCCACGTTTAAGTTCGCAATATCGTATTAATTTCAGGTCAGGTTTCGAGTACGAGATTAATGTGGTGGTGGCGATACACTTGGAGAGGCCGTTTCTAAAGTTAGAATAGCTGCACACTAACAAACACGCGAGCCTCTAACGTCGCCGCGCATCGTAATCGCAGTCATATATATCGTTTCAAAGTCGTATTGATTCGAGAAGGAGGGTTGCGCCGCGGATAATTGATTTTAACGAGAACGTGTGCTATTTCAAGGAGAAATGAAATTAAAAGGGCACTGTCACGATGAGTAACATCAGAAATTTTTATATAAAAAATGCAATTGGCTTCTGTACTATATTTTGTAACCAGTAACTGAATAATTCAGACCTACAGCTTACGTGAACACGTCTCCTATTGTTCACGTCGTAAGTCGTAAATATCGTTCAACTTTCAAGATTTATTTCCTCAAGATTGGCTGATTGACATTCTACGAAACAAACTAAAACAAACGACACTGTGAAATTAAACGTTGAAAATGTGAAGATAAAAAGGTATGTTGTATGTATAAATGTAACACTTGTAAAACATAACACAAGCTGCATTATAATTGCGGTATGTAATTGCATTCAAGCACTTTACAAATCAAGCGGGTAAAATTTTGAGTAGAAAGAACTACTCTTGTGCCATGAGTTTAATCTTAAAATTTATTTTTTTATATAAACAAAAGCATATATATTTAGAGAAATCAATTACGCCGTATACGAAATACGTATATATTTTGAATATATTTTAATATTGCAATAAAAGTTGAAAAAAACATGTATAATGTTAAAATAAACACGCTTAATTAACACTGGTTTTGTATTGAAATCTATTTTAGAGCGTTTATGTCTTGGTTTCATTTTCTTTTTATTAAATGTTGATATTTAAAAATATATAATGCAGTACAAAAAATGCTTAAGTATCTAATATCTTGTACGTTGATCATCTATATTAACATACATCCCAATCACTCATTATTGATTCCACATGGTTGTTACGAAAATATATTCTTCGGCTTCGATAATATCACTTATATCAAAGTCATGTGTCTACTGTCTATCAGACTGTAAAGTATTTCTACAGGTTTGGACTTCTCATTTCGTAATTCCTTCATTTCGTCGCATATTTGCTTGATATATTTCTTGTGCCGCGGATGCCTAGAAAAAAAAAACGATATAATTAACATTATTGTCATTAGTATAGTTTATTCATTATTTTCATACATTAAATAAATGTAATTCGTGATACGTACTTATCTATCACAATCTGAATGCTTTTTTGAAACGCTTGTTCTTCCTCGTCGATTTCCAGAAAACTGATTATTGTTCTTATAACAGACATTTCCAGAAAAACTGCGAAGATTTCTACAGGAACTTTATGTGATATTCTTTGTAAGTAGGACGACATTTGTGCTAATATGCTTATCTTAAAATTTCTCCTGCCACTTCCGGACAGTTTGTCTCGCTCAGAAAGAATGAAATTGATGTTAATGTTAACCGGATTGCTGGGCGCTACCGATATATCGTTATTTGCGCTCACTTTACTTTCAGATCTATTCAAGATCGGCAACGCCGTTTCCGACTGTCGTTGCAAGTATTCAACAATGTCCTGTATAGTATTCCATTTCTTCTCTTGAAATCTGTCTCTTTCCCACGTTTGCACTCTTAAAGTACCATTTCTTAATAATACTATATGACTTATAGAATTTTCTTGGCAGTATTCTAATATCTCTTCCATAGTACACAGATCTAATATCGTGATCTTCAATCCTAATGACCAGATTTCTCGTAATACGTTAATCATGTCCTTTTCTCTTCTTCCTTCGCTCTCTAAACTTCCCTCGCAGCAGATAGCCACGTCAATACCCCATTTACTTTCGCCATTCTCATATGCCTCGCCAACAGCGGACACCAATTTATCTAACGATATGCTAATACCAGCACCATATTGTTTTGTTTCCTTACTAGCCATTCCGGTGCGCTCTAGAACTTTTCTAAATGATACCAGCATTTTATCGTATCGCCCACCCGCGGCTATGATATCCTGACCGCCTCGTCTCCGTCTATGCTTTAGCTCGCAAGTTATTTGATATATCACACCACTGTATTGTTGTACATTATATGTTAATAAAGGTACGACAGTAATAGGCCACTGTAACAAGATAAAAAAAAGAATAAGAATGGATATAAAACATCTATGGATATATAAACATCTTATGCAAATTATATAAATATATACATATGTATACACATATATTATAATATTACCTTAACACCCAAACCTTCTACATTAGATATTACAGTCTCTATATCTTTCAAACCTTCCTTGGCTAGAGCAGCGGCATCTCCTTTTCTCTTCGTTATTGTCCTTAGGACACTGGCGATTTTTGCAACGGAGCTTTCCGTTTCGAGCAAATTAAAAAGCGTTTCCATAGCTTGATCGGTAAGGCATAAGCTTATCAAGTGTGTTTGGACCTGGAACTTAGTTAACTTTCCGTCGCGGGCATCCTGTAGTATGGAATATATGTCCTGATACTTGTCCTTTTCTACGCCGCAATACATTAGCACAGCTTCCAATAGCGACGTGTGATTTAAGCGCACAGTGAAATTATGTTCCCGGATCTGCGGTAGCTCGTTAAAAATCTCCCATATGATGAAGATCAATTCAGCCTCTGTCATTAAATTATTATCTACAGGACTAATAATGTCGAAAGCACATTCGTACAATTCCCTTGGATGAAATCCTCGAGCCTACGGTAATTACGATATGAACAGATATTAATTTACAATTATTATATACAAGGTATTTGGTTTTGTTACTTTCATTCACAGATATAATGTATGTATATTTTCGATAATTGTCTCAGAGTGAATTTTACGTTCAACCAGCTAAAGATGTGAATCTTACTTACAATAGAAATTACTTAATGCGTCATCTTGACACTCAATACATACTTTTTTATCTCTGAATACGCGTTCAATAGCGTATCTTCGAATGTGCGAAATATTATTCCATACAACGTATCGAGCGAAAGGAATGCGAAGATCATGAGGTATAGAAACTATACTGCCAGTACGAGTCATCAATTTCACGCTAGATTCGGTAAAGTTAGAATGCTGAACGGATTTAGGCATTAACAACGGGGTCGCGAGGTATATTCCGCCGTGTTTTTGAAATATCTCAACGATTTTTTGCTTTACACTCTCTTGCAGAAACTGCTTTTTCGAGCAGAGAACACTTGGCGTTCCTCTAGCAGGTAAATTCATGTCATAAGTAATATCTTCTGCTGGTGTAACCTCTTGCGTGAAGCACGATGCCACTAAATATCTGTATGCTTTACTTTGACTATTGGATAACGTGTGGCGCATCACTTCTTGCAATTCCGGCTCTTCTAATGGCGGCGGCAAGTGTGTGGAAGAGAGCAATTCCTGAGCAGTAGGACGTTGACTTGGATCGTGATTCAGCAGCCAACTAACACGGAGTTTAACATCATTACTTCATATTTCAGATAACTCAGAATAATATAACATGTAAAATGTAAAATTGTTATTTTTTACCGTATAATATGAACTTGAGATGGCATATCTGTTTCTGGTACATCGGGAGGAAAAACGATTTCTTTCGAGCGCAAGTTCAATAGAATCTTGACACGCTCCATTCCGGTAGTTAGCGGTTTGTACGTCATTTCGAAAAAGATGATTCCCAAGCTGTAAATATCCACTTTTTGATTGTAAATTGCTTTGGCAGTTTTCGCAGAAAGTTCAGGAGCTACATATAGAGCTGTACCAACTTGACCAGTAAGAGATCCCAATTCTTCTATGTCAAAACTTCCACCTAGATATAAAGGACACAGCTGATATAATTTGGTACGTGGCATATAACTATGTATTCGTACCTTTCTCAAATTGTGATTCTTTATCGGTATCGATGGTCGGAACTAACGATGACAATATATTAGTCGTGGCCAATCCAAAATCTCCTATCTTGACGTGGTCGTTACTGTCGAGAAAGATGTTTACAGGTTTCAAATCTCTATGTATCATACCCTGCTGATGAATATGCGCCAGACCTTCTACGATTTCTCGAAATAGTCTCCAGTAACGTTCTTCATCTTCGTACAAGCCATTATCTATGGCAGTTCTTAACGTGCTTTTCTCACAGAATTCCATTTGTATATACATAAACTGTATTTCTTTTACCGTTATATCTTCGTTAGAGGTTTCATCTTTATCTTTAACGTCGTTGTTCGAAACGTCCGATGTTACTGCGGACTTTTGTGATATATCATCATCTCTTTCAAATTCAATGCTATCGGAAGACTCGATACGCAGTAAAGTTCGCATTCTGTGAAAGAGAAAATATAGATTAGCTTTTTTAACATCAAGTTTTTCTTCATATAACATACCTCCATCTTTTTGCGAATTAAATATGAAATCGAATTATATAACGATAATAAGTTGAATAAAAATATTAAATATTACAAGATGTCCAATATTTAAAAAAAGAAAATTATCTTACGATAGAAACGCGCAGTGTTCCTCACTATCAGAATCAGTCGAGGCGTCACTGTTCTCATCGTCACTATCGGCCACATTCGCCCGAGATTCATATGATATATTCCACTCAACGTCGCGTAACGGTGGAGCAAACTTTTCTATCTCATCACTTTCCAGTTGCTAAAATTCACGTCATGTATTTATACTGCACAAAAGTCTGATTACAATTAGGAATTCCAATTAAATTTCTAATATATTTAGTTCAACTATAAAATAGAATGTTGTTACAGCTCTTCCTGTTGCGAGCGATGTTATCATGAATAATATATTTACATTAACTATATCTGCTTTGTCCTGCGTGGTGGTCGTTTTATCTGAAGATGTAGTAATCGGCGTGAACTGACTATGCCTGACTGAATCGTCCAGGGTGGCACTCTCGATCCACGAATTATAATAACGTACTACATTCTCGTGATTCATTCTAGAGAGCAATTTTACTTCGCGCGTTATTTTCTTGTTCAGCTGTTTTTTCTTTGGATTTAATTCTATGCGTTTGATAGCGTAGATACCGCCGTCTAATTTATTTCTCACTTTTAGAACGTCGCCGAAGGCCCCTTTTCCCAACCATTTCAAGACTTCAAATTCGTTCTGTATTCGTGATTGTCTACCCAGCGACGGCAAATACAACTGAATATCGATATCCGGTTCTTCCGGCTCTAAATTCTTCTCTTTCTCATCGTGATCCGGTATAGAAGGCGATAAACCTCGTTCTAACGGTATTCTTATGAAACCATGTTGTTGCAGTTGTTCCGCAGACCAACGCATTCTCTCATCGTCGATGAGACATTTTGAAATAAAGTCCCTCAAGTAAAGCTGAAAAAATTATTTAACTTAAGATGGGCGTGTCTATCATTGGCGCTTTATGGACAAAAAAACATGCTACACACAAAGAACATCTACCTGTGGGATTGTTGTTAGATCGATTTCTTCCCCGGATATGATAGTCCCTTTTAATAATGAAAGCAATAATATCCCATATCTATATACGTCTGCCTTTTTACCACCTCGGCCTTGAATTGTTGGAAAATCGTGTTCAGTCTTTGCTAAGGAATTTGAATGATACATATCTGACAATCTCTTATCTAAAGAGTAGTCGGATAATCTTACAACACCCGTGTGGTCTATATAAATGCTGGTGTCACGTAAATCTTTATGCACTACATTATTCTCATGAAGATATCGCAACGCCTCAATGATACCCGTTGCCAAATGTCTCAACATGTCGACGTCGACTGGAATGTTTTCCATCAGGAAGAACGAGCACGTAGTTCCAATCTACTTTTACAGACAACCGATATCATAAACGAAAACCATTCTCAATCTTATCAAGTATTGACATTCCAAAGAGATATGTGTTTACATACCACGAACTCTTGAAGCACGTAAATCACCACGCTATTGTTGTTTTTCAAATATTTCATGTTTAAGTAATGTACAAGATTTGGATGATGCAGTTTGTACAAGTGATTTAGCTCTTGCTCCAAACTGGCAATCTGTTTCATGGCGTGCTGTATATCGATGGTTTCTTGAGTAGAGCAACTACCGTTTGCTATCGCGCATTTCAACGTCCATTCCGTGATAGCCAATAGTTCTCCGGTGATCGTATCCACGCCAGCGTACACTACGGAACCCTTCGTGCTGTGTCCCAAGCATTTCCCCCGGTGCACTAGTCTCTCGCCTTTATTACTGTCAAATTCGATGGACTTGATACCTCTATGCTCGCACAATGACCCTTCGGAACTTTCCGACGTGCTGACACATCGACGCCTGAAACGACTCGTCCCTCGCTCGTGCGGAGACGACGGTATAGATCGAAAGATGGTGTCAGAATCTGTGGTCAGTCTAATCGTTTCCTTCCGATTACGCATCTCAGCCTTCAGGGCTTCCTGACGTTTTTGTATGGCATCTTGCAGCACCTAGCAAAATATCCACGATAACAATTAAGCTACACGTAATGTGAAATCGAAATAAATAGTGCAAATGTATTAAATCAAACCTGTCTTTCTTTATCCTCTTTCATTTGCTTCTCTTGCATTTCATACTGTTCCCTTTCCTGATTTCTCAATACCATTTCCTCATAAAAACTGCTATAACCCGGTTTATTATGCTTGTGCAGGTATTTCTGAACATGTTGACAAAACTCAAAAATCATAACTTCCCCCTTCAACTTTTGTGCCAAGTTTTCGAGCTCTGATGATAAAACTGCAACTTGCTGATGAGACAAACCTCTGCTGTCTTGTAGCTGAATTGTCGGTACTCTAAAATAAATCATAATAAATCATATACAGTAGATATTATGAAACAAAGATGCTAAGAATGTATTAGAAGATGTAAAACTTACTCATCAGGATATTTGTCACTGCATATAATGTGCAAATCTATCTGCGCATAGATCTCCGCTGGTCCGGACATGCCTTTCTGCGGCGTCAAGGTAATAACGATATCTAAAGGTTGCCATTTTTTCTTATTTTTATTCTTTCTCAAGTCACGCAATTCATCCCCAAAGATGGACTGTTATAAACGACAAAGTAGGATTATTAAGAGAGGTAATAACACAGGGAACCGTGAACTTTTTGATCGTGCCTATGTAGCGTGTCGCAATACCTTTAAGACTTCCAATTCATTCTGCTGTCGGTCCTTACACGATTCAACCTGAGACATCTTGCCACGCTGCTATTCGCCCATCGCACAGATTAGCGAGTTGAAAGTGAAACGGAGTAACCTGAAAGGAGGAAAGTCGCAAGGGCTTAATTTCACGCGTGTACGATTTTAGTGTTGTAGCTCGAAGATAAATTCAATAAAAACGCGGCGTCTCAGCGTTGTTTGAGACTGATGTGTACAAACGTGTACTACACGTGTACACGTAAACTACATGCGTATTTCGGTAAACGAGTTGATGAACGTCGCGAGGAAAGAAACCGGTAGTCTGTTCACCTGGACTCGCCATACAAGACTACATCGCGATACTCGACGCTCGCCTCGGGAATATCAGATTCAACAGCTCCGGAGCCCGCTCTAACCGCACTTTGTGATTTGTCGCAGAACATCGGAGCAATATACAGACAAGTGGAAGAACAGAAACAACTTTTTTTCGATGAATTTTAGAACGCAACTTTATTATTCTCCTCAAATTCGACTGTGATTAGTCTTCTTGCGACTCACGACTTTGCGACTCGCATTGTAGATCCAGCATAAAAGTAATGCTAGGTCTACAATGCGAGTCGTAAAGTCGTGAGTCATAAGAATTGACCAATCACAATCGAATTTGAGGAGAATAATCGACTGTGATTGGTCAATTCTTACGACTCACGACTTTACGACTCGCATTGTAGACCCAGCATAAGCGGTTGTTCTGCTGAACGCGCCCAAACGCGGCCATTTTCTATAAGAATTAAGAGGAAGTGAGCCACTGGAGCCAGAAGGAGCGAAGTGTGGTCGATCGTGAAAGGATTCTAATTTTTTGAGAAGATATACGATTGCAGATCAAAACGCTACGCGATGGTTAGTTTCTCTCACGCGCTAATTCCTACGTTATTATTTTTCCTCGTATCGGGGATCTGTTGCGAACTAATAGACCATGTGACAATTTAACCTTTACTTTTTGCCTCTACTTCTCCTCTCAAGGATTAATGATTGTGTGCCAATTACTGTAGTGTATAAGGCACCTAACCTCCTCACCCGAGGAACTGGAAAAAACCCCCCCCCCTCTACTTCTCTCTTCTTTGGGACGCATTCACGGAGCGCGCTATTTGAATTTTCGTTCTTTGAATCGTGGTGCGATTTATTTTGCAATTTGGAACTTGCGTTCATCTCTTACACTTTTGTGAAATAATTTTTTTTTTTACATAAAATTATTGTCGAGTAGTAGGAAAAGAGGAGGAACCCGAGTCTCACTTGAAACAACTGTTTTAAAAAATTATCTAGCCATCCTATATAATCACCTTAACAGAAATTTTCTTTGCAAGTGCTAATGAAGAGAATTGTTTGTTTCAGAAACCTTTGATGTTGCATGGGCACGAGCGTGCCATCACTAAAATAAAGTATAACAGAGAAGGAGATCTAGTGTTCTCCGCCAGTAAAGATAAGCAACCGAATGTTTGGTATTCGCTGAATGGAGAACGTCTTGGTAGTTTCAACGGGCACAATGGTTCCGTATGGTGCATCGATGTCAACTGGGATACCACACGATTTTTATCCGGCAGTGGTGATAATACTCTGAGAGTCTGGGACTGTCAAACTGGTTTGTACATATGACAGAATTGTAAATAAATTTTGCTAGTGCGCCACATATGATCCGTATCCTTGCTTAATGTTGTTCACAGGCAAAGAAATAGGACAATTGACCACGAACAGTTCTGTAAGAGCATGTGGCTTTAGTTATTCGGCGAACCTCGCGGTATTCTCCACCGACAAGGCTTTGGGTCACCAGTGCGAGATGTTTATCATGGATGTACGAAACGTCGACTCCACGTTATCCCAGGAGGATGCAATCTCTAGGATCTCGGTCAATGGTCCTAGAATTTCTGCCATATTATGGGGCGCCCTCGACGAGACCATTATCACGGGTCACGAAGATGGTGAAATTAAACTTTGGGACGTGAGGGTAAGTGTCCTTATCGTTATCACATTAATTCAAAAGTATGAGTTGGTGAGTAAGTAGTAGTATAAATATTGTCTATAATATCTACAGACCGGAAAGAAGCTGTCCAGTGTTAAAGGTCACAAATCTCAGATAAATGATATGCAATGCAACAAGGATGGCACCATGTTCGTAACTGCATCCAAGGATCATACGGCGAAACTTTTTGATAGCGAGTCTTTAGTGTTATTGAAGACTTACAAGACAGAAAGACCCGTAAACTCGGCTACTATATCACCAATTTTTGATCATGTAAGATTTATGCCTCAGAATAGTAATACATTATTTTAATATTTGAAAAAGATATAATAGAATATCAGTATAATTTCTATATTTACTATTATACACTATAATTTTCATTGAGTTTCTGTAAAAAAAAAATACATGCCATATTTGCTAAGTAGACAATATTTTTCTGTAGGTGGTTCTTGGTGGTGGTCAAGATGCCATGGACGTCACTACAACATCCGCGCGACAAGGCAAATTTGATTCACGATTCTTCCATTTGGTGTTCGAAGAAGAATTTGCACGTTTGAAAGGTCACTTCGGTCCCATTAACTCTCTCGCTTTTCACCCTAATGGTCGTAGTTATTCCACGGGCGGAGAAGATGGATACATTCGTATTAATAATTTTGATCAGTCTTACTTCGACTTTCATTTCGAGTATTAAATTTATCAATCAAGGGACGTATGTATATGATAATATATATATCATTTTGTTAGAACATATGTTGTGTGTGTGTAATCATTTTTCCAAACTAAATGAGTTTTGGGGTATAAGTAGTAGTGGTGGTGATGTCTCCCCAAAAATACCAGTTGTAACTCTCAGTGAGTTGGGTGTGACTCCACTAGTATATGTCCAATTCGACTTTTTGTTAGAGCATTGATTGACCGATAATTTAATAGAATTGTTTATAAACTTAGTCGGCGCAGCCAGGCACTCGCGAGAAAGCGCGTTTGCCCATGTGCGGCTGATTAGTTGGTGCTGGGCTGCCGGCTTGGTAGGTGCACATGCGGACACAACCAGAGTTAAAATAATAGCTTTTATAAAAGGAAACGAAAGAATTATTGTTCTCTAAACATAGACGTAAACGGATTACAATTCACTTCATATTTCTTTTACTCATAAATCTCTATATATATATATATATATATATATAACTCTTATAATCAATTATTTATAAACAGAAGTATACCACTGACACTGACTAGGAATCGACCGCTCTCATACCAATTTATCCTAGTAGCTTTTGTGGCAAGTGCAAACTCGAGAAATTATCCTGGCAATTGATATCAAATACTATTGTCAAATTTTATTACATGTTAGCGATAAGCAATGCTTTTAATAATTGTACGAAATAAATATTCCAACTTTGTATAAATATTTATACCCCACATTTCTTAAATTGTATATATAAATTATTTATTAAAAATCTGAAACTTTTTTTAGTTTTCAAAGCATAATTACATCAAATTACGTGTAGCGTCAAACGATATTTAACATCTATTAATAAAATGATTAAAATCATAAATAAATATTTATTGTAATGTACAATGGCTGCGTTCAGCCGATACTCCGCTAGCCTAGCAATCGTGAGCAGTCGCTCGTTTCCTCTCCTTTTAATCCATTGGGTCAGAGGAGAGGAAACGAGCGAAAACGAGCGACTGCTCACGATTGCTAGGCTAGCGGAGTATCGGCTGAACGCACCCAATATTTTCACAAATATTGCTTGCTATAGTTTTGCTATGTTGTTTATATCTGTCAATAAGATGTTTTATCCAATAATCAAATCTTTTTTAAAATTATACATTTTTCTTTTTCATTTTTCGTTAGCTTGTTGCAATGGTTTAGCCTTTGATTAATTTTATTTTATTCTAAAAAATTGAAGTGTTTGATAAATAAACCAGAGTACATATTTTGAGCATTTGGTAAAAAAAATAACAATATTTCTTAATATTCTTAAACACAGATCAATCATAGATTTTTTAATGCATATTTTGTTTAATGAGAAAGCAGATATGTAAAAGTCACGCTTCTTGTTTAGCATTAAACTTCCGTTGATCTCTGGATTACGATGCATTTTAAGATATAACGTATATAAAGGTTCGAAGTGTACTGCAAGAATTTTAATTCAATGTTGGTACACACTTTATTTTTATAATCATATAATATTGTACAAATTATTACAATAAACTATATATTTCTGTAATTATGTCTGTTTCTTATTAGTTTTACCAACATGGCTTGCCGTAAGCGTTTGGCAAGATAGTAGAATTAAATAATACAGCCATACAGTGCAAAAAATGCACCATCTCGTATTCTTCATTGATTACGATTTTCCTCTAAAATTATATCCTACAATAACAGTACAAAAAAATTATCGGGACAAATTGAAATTACTAAATTAAACCCGTTACTTCTTTTAACGACTATCTACATATTGATGTAATCCTATAATCGTTTTTCGGAGTGTATACAAGAAGAAAATGAAGTGAATCTCTTCTTGTGTACTATATGCTATTGCTATACCATATATTATAACTTTACATATTTATATATATAATATCGTAAGTGTTTATATTATATATATACATATATAAATGTAAATGTACGTCGCGTTGTGTGTGCTAACAGGATCAATGTTCAATTTCATATTCACGTCTATCGTTTATCAGAAAAAATGTATACACGAGTTGTGTGCCATCCTATTTTATTGATATATTTTTCTTTATATTATATCCTATATTAATGTACATTTTTGTTGTTCTTATAAGAGCGCTAAAATAAAACTGGATATTTTCTGTTTATTTTTTTTATTACAGTATACGCGACTAAAGGGTTCAAAAACCTATAGTAATATAGATACAATTTACAAGTTCCGATTTTAAAAAAGAAACAAGATTTTTCGTTTTACATCATAAATTATTTCATACACACAGTTTTATGAAATATCATAAATAAAGTATGACAATAAATTTTACTAACTGTTAATTAAAAAACGTATGATGGCGAAATGAAAGTATAGTATATATGAAGAACCAGATATAGTAGCTAGTATACACTTCATTAGTACCTGTGTACTTGTGTACTATAGATTCGCGAGACAGTCGTGGGCACTCTGGTCAATTAGTACAATTTATCGCATCGTATATCGTTCGGAAAGTACTTCGCAAACATGATGTTTATCATCCTATGAAACCGGAGATTAAGGACAATTTCATTGTCCCAAAGTCATATTTAGCATCATAATAACAAAATAGAATAAATTCGAATATATTTATCTTAGAAAAAGAATTTACATTATAGAGAATTCGCTATGCAAGAGAGTAATCCGTATCGTATCGCGCGTGACGTATTACGATATTATTCGTCGCACCGAAATGTAAATACACTTGATATTTCGCGCGTGAGTCCATATTACACATATAGGCGTTTATAGGTCGGGAGTATGCAGCTCTAGGATTTAACCAAGGAATCAGACTGAAGGCCACCCTTTAATGTTTTTACAGTCTATTTTATGTAGGTCCGATAACAACAATAAAAATTCTTAAATAAATATATATCGGTATAATCATTGATGGAATATTATTACGCAGTCAACTAGTTTCCTTGTTGTCAAGAGTCGTAAGTTTTTTCTTTTTCTTTTGCTTTTTTCCCCTCCTTTAGATGTTTGGAATTAATTCGCGTCTTAAAGCATAGTATACATACACATGTACACGTTAACGGCACGTTAACCACTGTACGTTCGCAGTGATCGGTATAGAGTACCACAAAGAGTTATGCGAAATTCGGTCGGACAAGACACAATTATCACTCAAGCTCATCATTGCTATTTTCCTCTGCCTTGAATCGCGCCGGATCTGGTGGTGGGTTTCGCCGGTTGCGGAATAATCGTGATCTCGTCGTTAATCTTCAACGGCTTTAAAAGTGAGTCGTTCGATCTGGACGACGGAGACGCAGGCGCGTTCTTCTTATCCATTACTCTCTTTGCTACGACACTATGCGCCGAGTATACGTGGTTCTCGAATTGCTTGTACATTCCGAATGTGGCAGTGCAAACTGTACACTTATACGATAGATGCGCTGGCTTTAATGTCATCCCGTGATCTCGAGCAACGTGATTTAATAATTTCCATTGATATACCTAGAAATCAACATGTACAACTCTCACATATAATATTCATATTTCTGTTTATGCTCTCTTGTTATGAAGAAACAAGATCTCTTGTTACAAACTAATTGATGCAGAAAAGATAAACTTACCCTGCCACAAGCTGGACAACGACCCGCATCTTTCCCTTTATTTGCTGCCTCTTGCATGCTGGATGTGACAAGCCCATGAGATCCTAATAAGTGTCTTTCCAAACCCTATTTACAGAAAAAGAATATGTTGTTATACAATTTCTGAATGTACAAATTTTGTTACAAACAATAATGATCGAACCGTTTGAAATTTAAATCAATGTACAGAAAATGCTATAAAAATATATCGATATATGTATCGATATATCTTTCAAGTGATAAAAGAAAAGTAATAACGTATTTTAATTTCAAAAATATTTTTATTTATTATATAAAAATTTACCTGATCTGTGAAGAAGCGGAATTGGCATTTCTGGCAGTTTAATGGAGGTCTGTTGTAAATCATCTTTGGATGTATTTTTACTTTGTGGATCCACTGCATATGATTTCGTAATTGTTCTAGATCCTAAAATAAGTACGATAGAATTTAATGCAAAATATTTCGGAAAGATTTATGTGTTATTATATATATGATATCTTAATATATGTTAATATTATTCATTAGTTATCTATTATTTCTAATTTTGATAGTATGTAATGTAATAATCTATAAAAAGCTATACTATATAATGTAACAATTAAAGTTCTTATATAGGATTGAATTTATTTTATAAATTTGAATCAATTTAAGTAATAGGTTATAATCGATAATCATATAATATATATATATACACATATATATATATATATATATAATATAATTATATAATATATATATATAAGCTTTTGATTTCGTGTTGCTTTTTACAAATTTGTGCAATTTCCAAGCTGTAGTTGTCATAAAAAATAAGAATAAAGGTCTAATTCATTGTACACCCACCTTAATATATCCATCACAAATTTCACATATAACAAACGTATTTTTTCCTCCAGACTTCGAAGAAGTTCCTGATCCCGGGATGGAGGTTTGAGATGTTGTACGTGGTAGTGGAGTAATAGATATACTCGGCTGACTTAATAGCTTCGCTGTAGGATTTTTGGAACTGGCTGTTGTGTTCTGAAAAACATAAAGTGCTTGTGCTATTTAGGAAACACAAACTCGTGTCAAATCAATAATGTTACTTTTATACATCATATAAATATCTGTTTTATTAATATCCACCTAAAAAATTTTACATTAAAAGTGTACATATTTGTTATAGATTGCTTTCTCTTCAAACCGTAGGTGTATGCGTGTTATGTGTATTTTTTCAAAGTTCAATGACAATTTATCGAATATGTGAAACGTTGTTTTCAAATTTTATCTTTTCTATGACCACGTAACAATTACAGCTTATTATTTCTTTATCTTTAAGAGAAACATTTCCATTATTTCCATTAGTAAAATTACATATACATTAATTAATGAAAATTTAGCGTTTGCTATATACATACATACATACATACATACATACATATATATATATATATATATATATATATATATAGTGTAAATGTATAGCCATTCATATATATTACTATTCATACATGGACAGAAGGGTATAAAACATTACTATATTTATTTTAATCTATCACATTAATGAGGAACGTAGATGTATATATGTCCTTTAGATATTACGTGTGCACGTGTACTATTAATTACGCAGACTCGACCAGTTTGTAAAAAGAAATATGGGAGGAATACATTCTTTATGCGTAGTGTTAAAATTTTCAAGCGACTACAAGTTCATTCGATTATAATCAAACTTGGAGAATGTTAAAAGCCTTTTTTCGCACCTGCAAAACATCATTCATGCGATCTCACGTATATCACAAAATCAGTTACTCTCCTTGGTTATTTTCCAATATTTATTTACCTGTGACGAGGACAACCTAGACAGAGAGTCGATTACGTTGGGTACAAGTGCAATTGGTGTGGGTTGACCGGAACTGCCGCCGCTACTGCTACTCACTCCCGAGACAGCCGACATGACAGTCCCAGAGCCACCCACCACCTGCCACCACCCATACATTTTTTTTACTTGTTCTTGGAACTTCAAATGTATTTTAAGTGTCAGTAGTTTGCGTGTGTGTACGCACATTCGTGAACATCGTTACGAAAAACCCGGAGATGTGTACGTTTCGAAAGATTGGCACGCGTCTACTACTGTACTGTTAAGCAACGTATATAATACACGAAACGTGTACTTTACGACTTTGTTATATATATTAGATGTAATTTGCGTTTAAGTTAACGTAAAAGTTCTCCTATATCTAGCCTCGATAAAAGAATGTTTCGTACTATTCTGCGTGTGCCCACCATGAGATTACACTTGTATAAATACTCTACAACTATATTGACGTATTCCACGTCAGTGAATCATAAGTCTGATAATATTAGCGTTTCTATACAGTGAGAGATATCATTACTATATCATTTTCGTAATTAACTAGACAGCTTTCGTTAACATAACTGTTTACGTTGTATATTAGACACAGAGGAAAATTTGATGAGTATAGTCGAGAACTTTTCCACCTTTCTTTTGATGTAACCCACCTTATGCAGTATTCATAAACATACATTATTTTAGTGCATATTTTACGCTACTCTACTTATGGAGGATTCACATTGCGTCCGATGTTCGACGTACGACGATCCGACATCCAATAAGAAATTTTTGTCTCTAATAATAAATTCTGTTATTGGATATCGGATCGTCGTACGTCGAACATCGGACGCAATGTGAATCCTCTATTATACTTTGTTGAAGATATCGTGTAAATACTAACTTATGATAAAGTAAAGTTACGATATGTGCACATTTATCTATAAAATTCAAGATAATAGGATACATAAATAACATAATACACACAAATATAATAATAATAGACGAGCAGTATACAATTTGATGCAAATATTCTGGATACACACAGCCATTAAACTTTTATGCAGCACGTGAATTGCGATTTCTTCTAATCTTACGAAGGGCATGACTTGTCATAATTTTCATCGCCCTTATGTGTTAGTAAGCATATTGAAATAATAATAATTTTATATATATATATATATATATATATATATATATATAATACTATGGCAGTTTACAAATTATAATATGCAATTGTGATGTGTTTAATTTTTTCTAAAAATATAACAATAGATATATTGTCACCTTTTTAACGCGGATATATTGAATTAAAAACTCATTTACTTCACTAATTTCTCGTCTTATTCATATATTCATATAATCTTTATCCGATCTCCGTGAAGAACGAGTTTTTAATTCCTAGTCCGTTTCAGTGGCCAATTACATTTTACTTTATATCCTCATGTTAAGCTTAATTGTTAATATTTGCATGTGCACAACGAATACACGTCTATAACATAGTAAAATGCTATTATTACCTGGAATATTTGGTTACTACCAAATTGGTATGACGTGGGTACCAATAAACCAGAGGATGTAGGACGATACATCATTCCTGCAACATTGTCTGAAATACAGCTTACATTAATATATCGCGGTCCAAATCCATTAAACGTGCGATGCGTACCGATCTGAGAGAAGATATATTTTCTCTCACTTTATTTTCGTTATATCTGCTGATAGGAATTTACCTTGCCGCATTGTAGTAGCACCTGGCCGCAATGTTTTCAGATCGGAATATCTCGGCTGCATCGGCGGTCGTCCTCTTCCACGGCCAGTGATCGGCGCGGGAAGCAATTTTGGTAACAACGGTTGTGGACCTTTGGCGCTCATCGCCATAGCTGCGAGCGCACTCGGAGTGGTCGGGCCGACGGGTCGTGCGCGATTTAACCGCGGTATCTTGGCTGGCGGCTCCCAATCTACCGCAGGCTCCAAGTTTCTTTCCGGTCTGAACTTCTTCGTGCAGGCGAGAATGTGCCGCGTCAATTTGCCCTTCTGATTGTCCTCGAACGGACAGTTCGGGCACTGGTGGAAAGCAGGACCGCGTTCCAATCTACCGCGAGTATTATGCTCCGCTTCCATGTGATACAGGATATCGTGAGGACTACGCACCTCCATCGGGCAGAAGTTGCACTTGTAAACGTAATTGCGCATATGCGGCGTTTCTAGATGATGCTGCATGACTAATGTCGATTCCGTTTTAAAACTACAGAATTCGCATTTCTTCATCTCTAAGTGGAATGGTTCGTTATTTTCTTTACTAAACTCTAAATTCTTGATAAGTGAATTTATAGCTAATTGAGTCTCGGCCGATGTGCTACCCTTGCCTTGTTTACGCTTTTGAGTCCGTAAGAGATCAGTTTGCACATATTCCTGAACGAGGTTCATTCCAATTTGCATAAAAAACTTTCCCAATGGCAGGTCGAAGTATGTCGGTATTTTATTTCTGTCGTCTTGTCTTAGCTCGTGCTTGTCACTTATACCACTGAATCCCTGCTCGATCAAGTCTATCGAACTGTCACCATCTCCGTCTCGTTTGGCTCTACCCTCGATGTCACTCTCATCAGACTTGTCGTTACCTCTTTTAATAATATCTAAAGAATCTTCTTTGTATTCTTCACTATCCTTACTTTCGTCAGTAAGTCTCTTCAGCTTCTCTTCCTTCTCCCATTCGTCGATGCTTCTCTCCAGTTTAGTGACAAATTCTTTCAATGGTTTCAGGGGTGGTTTCTCGTATACATAAGGTACTATGAAGGATGGTGCTTCAACCACAAACATATCGTCGGTCAATGTTGGTAAAATTGGCGGTACCGTCGGCGTAACTGTGGTCATACTAGTTTTCGGGCTCAGCTGTGCCGTTTTCGAAGTCATGGGTACTGGCGTGATGGTTGTTCTCATATTAGGGTACATCGTCTGCGTTGTCATACCGCCCATTGGGACAACCGAGAACGGACTGGAGTTGGAGACCGAGTGATGAGGTTTGCTATTACTCACGGGGACTCCACCGCGTCCCGAAAGAATGGAGTTTGTGTCTATTATAACTAACGTAGGTTCTTTCTTTCCGCCCTTGATGGATTTACTACCAGCGGCGATCTCTACCAGCCGTTTAGTATCATTAACAACGATAGTAGTTTTACTGTTTCTGATTGGTGACTTCAGTTTAGAATTCTCCTTATCCTTGCTATCGATACCGGCTAATGGATCTTCCGGCTTAATCTCTTCTATGTCAGATCCATCGTCTACCTCCTCCTCCAACTCCTTCTCTATATAGCTTGTTCGTTTAATATTGCGCGAGCTTCTTCTCGGCGTGATACTACTAAGATCTATCTGTTTTCGCGGCTTTTTCTGCTTGGGATCTTTAATAGCACGTTCCATTGACGTATCATGATCGTTGCTCTTCGCACTATCGGTTATCTCTTCGATGTCGGGACTGCCACAGCTTCCGTTCTCCTCGCAGAGCTTGTCATCCGATTTCTCCATGCTGTTGTCAGCGAGTTCACTACTGTCACAGCTACAATTTGATGACATGTCATTGTTGTCCCGTTTATCGATGGCTTTCTTCGAAATGAACACATCGTCATTATCCAGTTGTATTTCTGTAATGCTCTCGTCAAGACACTCTATGTCAGAGTTATTACTTTGTTCGTCTATCTCCATAGCTTCACAGGACGTGTTTTTACACTCAGTTATTTCAGTTTTAGACACTTCACTAGAATTGTTCGTCTCACTTACACCGCCGGGTGAGTTAGATACTTTAAAGTCATTTTTCAAGTCAAACGTTTCATCTTCCATACTAGGATTACCTACTGCTTCATTATGCTCACTATCTTCATCTTTTCCCTCTTCCATCTCGATTTCTCTTTCATGAACATCCTCGTCCTCCTCCTCCTCCTCCTCATCCCCATCTTCTTCCTCTTCCTCCTCCTCCTCCTCATCCTCTTCTTCAGTGATAATATCTTTCAACGTTGTCTTACTTGTGTTATCACTGGTATCCATATACTCTTCGTTGTCAGCACTATAGTTTCCATTGACACCGTTCGGAATAATCATATCTGCAAACATTTATAAAACATTTAATACACGTGTAATCATTATTTATTAAATACTGTAATTATTTCAAAGCATCAATATAATAACAAGTATATATATCTTATAATTTATGATCAATAAGATATATATATATATATATATATATATATATATATATATACACATATATATATATATATGTTTGGACTTTAATTGAAATTATAATAGAAAGCATATATCATTGCTTTTAATATATATTTCTGTTAATTTACAGTTTTTACTTTAATTAATAATTATTATATAATTTGTTTATTACAAATTTATTTTTTGCCTAGATATGAGGCTGAAAGAATTCACAGAATAATTGCAAAATCAAACAAGAGATATTAAGCAAAAATATTCTAAACACTAATATCAGTTACAAATCATGTAACAAAATCGTATGATGGGGGAATATAATTTCTCCATAGCATTTTTCTAAAAGCCACTTTCAAGCTACAACGGTAAATGGCAATCTTTAGCTAAAATAATGTCACATCTAATTACTGCCAAATTACAATCAGTAATAAATTAGATAACAATGCCATTGCCGCCTTATCAGTTCAATAAGACTTCACCGTGAAGTACGTAACATCCCTACAAATTACAACAGATACTTAAGCGTATTATATTACGTGTAAAGAATATGAAATTGTTTTCCCTTTATGCTTTCTCTCAACCAGAAAGCCCCCATGATATCGAAATAACATTGCGACATACAGAAGCGTCATGATCTACGAATTCTAAGGATCTACAATCCAGAGGATTCCAGGTGCGAACCAGGTCGTCGAGAGTCAATTTTGCCGAGTGTCCAGCGTCAGAACGTGTATAAGCCACGGAACGGGCGGCCGTGTGCTCACCTTTCAAGTGCCTGTCAGGACTGCCCGGAGAAGAGTCCTTAGCGGCAGACTCCTCCAGCGTGCCCTCCATGAGTCCACCGTGGTCCGCCGCGCGGTCGATCTAAACAATTAACGAACACACCACTGAAACTAACAATCGGCAAGACGCGGCAAGAGACGAAGAGCGTTGCGCGGGCACCGCACGTTCTCCACCTTCGCGAGGACGGCGCGCGGAGGGAGCCCTGGCGGGGTTGCGAGAGGGGAGAAGGGAATTTTTAGCGGGGCCGAATTTTTCAAAATGGCGCTGCGAATTCCGCACTTGCGTCCGCTCTCGCTCCCATAACCAACAAACTTCCGTCGGAGCCCGAGGGGGTATCCGATGTCTCTCTCATGCGCGCGCGCGCACACTCACACACACACACACACACACACACACACACACACACACACACACACACACACACACACACACACACACACACACGGCCGCACACGGGGAATGCTGCACCCGGGGCGTTTCGAACGATCATCGAACAAACCGCGACCGCGACCACGGCGACGGCGTCGCTCGGATCCTCCCGTTCAAGCGTTCACCTCTTCCTTCAGCGTGCGAGCGAGTACTCGACCTGGCCGTGCTTGCACGCGCGCACACGCGAACGGCCGACAACGAACAGACGCACGGACGGACGGACGAACGAACGAACGAACGAACAAATGGACGGACGGACGGATGGGTAGGTATCCGAGACTCCTGGCCTGGCTCAAGGAAGAGAGACAGAGAGAGGGGCTCACACGAGAACAGTTAGCGTCGTCTCCCAGTTAGCGCAGTCAGTCACCTGCATTCGCTAACCACCGCTAGCGTCTGCGAGCGCCAGTCAGTCACTCCATCAGCTAGCCAGCCAGCCAGCCAGCCAGTCAGTCAGTCAGTCAGTCCTCGATCCCGACCCTCCGTGCGCGCCGCCTCTCTCTCTCTCTCTCTCTCTCTCCTCTCTCAACCTTCGCAACCTACCAACTTCTCTACACCTACACCCAGAAAGACCCCACACGTACGTACGCGGAGTATACGTGTACGTAGCGTTGCGCGCGCGCGCGCAAAGCTTCCCGACGAGGCGTTCCACGTTAAACGCGACGGCGAGGATGGGTATGAGAATTTATGACGAGACGATTATACGTCAACCGCGTCAACCTCTCGAGGGATACGTCCGCGGACGACGTATCTCACGAATCACCAGAATCCTGGATGGATATTGCGTTACCGTCCGCGGGGTACGTCGTCGTCTACGAGCATGACGGTCACATCACGAACCTCTCGCGACGTACCCCGGCGTCGCGAGGGGGCAGGGGTGGCGCTCCGGGGGACAGGAAAGCGGAGAGAAACCCGCGCGACGTCTCCCGCCGGAGAGGGGAAACGGCTGGCGGGATGAGAGGAGGAGAGGGAAGGAGGAGGAAGAAGAGGAGGGAGGCCGCCAACCGGGATGGCGTCGACGTAGAGGTTATAACGCGCTACGTTAACCCCTACGTTAACGACGCGAGGTTAACCCGGCGAGAGAGAGAGAGAGAGAGAGAAGACAAGCGGAGTAGAGGAGGGGAGAATCATCGTCTGATCGGTTTGACAGATGATCGACGGTTCTCTGCCGCGCCGCTTGAGATTAGCGAAGCAGATGATCGGTACTCCACTCTTCAACGGTAGTCGTTGATGCCGCCAGCCGCCTGGCTCTCACGGGGCATCACTCCCGCGCTTACCGACGCGAAACGCGCACGTTTTCGCCACGGCCCGACGTCGTCGGGCCCCGTTCGCGACTCGTGGTGGCTCCCGGAATTCCCTCCCGCTATCTCCAGCACTGCGGGACGCTGCTGGTCCTGAACGTCACGTTACGCCGCACGCTCTTCTTGCACCTCGTCTCTCCTCTCTTAAGCCCCTTGCACAATGCCAGGCAACAGGCAATAGGAACAGGAAATAACCAAAAAATCGTTAATTACAACCTAAAAAATTCAAATGCTATGATTGGTTGGCAATAGGCAATAGGCACAGAATTTCCAACGTGACGGAAACTCTGTGTCTATTGCCTGTGTCACTGTTTATTCTGCATTTATACATGATTTCTGATTTCTATTCCCTGTTCCTATTGCCTGTTGCCTGGCATTGTGCAAGGGGCTTTATCCTTCCCTCTGTTCCTTCACCCTCGTTTCCGCGCGCGCCCGGGTGCGCGGAGTGCAGAAGGTGCACGACGAAGCGAGAACGGGAGAGCCTACGGCTCGAACGGGGCGAGACGAGTCAAGATGAGACGAGACGAGACGAGACGAGGTGAGGTGAGGTAAAGTGAGGCGAGGCGAGGCAAGGCGACTCCCAGCGGTGTTTACCGTATCCAGAGAGGCGCCTTCGGTCCCGGTCTCGAAATCCGAAAAGCGGGATTGCGGACGTCCTCGTTTTATCCTCGGCGACGGAGGCTCGTTCTTCCTTCGCGCGCCCCGACTCTGCGGGCTTGCGCGAACTCGAGACGACCTACGACCGTCAAGACGATACACTCTTAACGCGATGCGCTCGACTCGACGCGTCGCCGAGGACGCGACGACGACGCGCGCTCGAGAGCGCAGGAGCGCGAACAGACGGACGGATAGACGGACGGGCGAGCGGGCAGACGGACAGGCGGGAGCGAGAGAGAGACGGAGGGAGACACGCATATGTACACCGGTCGGAAAACGTAAAAGCTCATCCACGGCGACGCGGCCGTGCGTCACTCGACCCGTACATACGCGCGCAACGGCGAGGGACGCGGTCGAGGCGATCGCGTCTTCCATTCATGCCGTGCGTAATTTCTCGCGCTTCTTTTCCTCTCTCGCCGTCCGCCTACTTTGAATAATGCGTCAGGTACGCTTCGATTCCTCCGGGTGTATGAGAGTGCAGAAGGTACAGGTGACGCGAGCGGACCTATCGCTGGCCGCAGGCTCTGGAGCAGTTTCCCCTCTCGACACTCTCAACGGAGGAGTTGAGGTTAATTTTTCGGAGCTCTTTCTTGGCCCCCCTTCGAGACGCGAATCGGCCCCTGTCTGTCTGTCTCCCGGCTCGTCCGTTCGTTTAACGATTCGCAGTCGGCAATCCCGATCTTTCCGGACCGCAACGCGGCCAACGGCGCATGGTATATACGCACCTAGAGAAGAAGAGCGAGAAGACGAAGATGACGAACGACGACGACGACGACGACGACGACAACGACGACGACGGCGGCGGCGGCGGTCACGGCGAGGGTGACGAGGAGGGTTGCCTACGCGAGCGTCGCGTGACGGCGACGTCGGTGACGGCGACGTCGTCGATGGCTGTCGCGCGCGGTGGTGTATCGGCAGCCGCGATCTTCCGAATATCACTCGATCGCTCGAGGGGGGCACGGGGTTACACGCGGTTTATTCACAAAATCTGTAAATAGGGAACACATTCATCGCTGATGGTTGGCACACTAGAGGGCAGGCGCGCGCGACGGGTGGGAAGCGTTAAAAAGTTACGATTCCAGGGCCGTAGCGAGAACCGCGGTTCGCCCCTTCCCTCCTCCTCTTCCTCCCCCCCCGTCAACCCCGTGTCGTTAAAGGTCTATCCAGAGACTTGTACATTAAATATATCTATATACATATGCGTGAGCACAGAAAAATCGACCAATCGCGAGAACCCAACGCGGGGAACGCGGCGACAATATGGCATCCCTCATGCCGGATTTGATTAGGTAGTCGTCTGTGTGCGGCCTATGCGAATCCGTCTGGATAAACCTTCAGAGCGTGCAGCTGCGCGTTTTTTTTTGTGAGAAATACCAACGGCGAGGAGGTGGAGGAGAGAGGCGGCTCCTAGAAGAGATCGTTATCGAATAGGCCCGTTGCATGACTCCTGTATCGCGCTTCGCCCGTGAATTTACTCGAATCCCATATCTTTCGGCGCGACAAAAATACGCGATCGAATATAAACGAATTACAAATATACGAGATGCTCTACCTCCCTCCCCCGAGCTACTCTGCCGCATCGGTTTCTCCCCTCGGTCAAATTGGCGCCGACTTTTCCTCCACGAAAATGTTCAAGCGTCGAATAGCTTCCGTAATTAGCGGTCAGAAGCAACAGCACTTTTATAAAATTCCATAAAATAACGAAATCATATTCATCGATCAATTTATTTTTAGGACTCCACTTGGATTGAGTTCGAATTTAAGGTTTAGTGTATTATGAAGATTAAGGGTTTAATTTAATCCGCGATTAATTTAACCGGTTAAGGCCCAGTTTCACAAGTGTCGGTTAACTTTTAATCTTAGATTAACTCACTCTTCGTCTCCTTCTAACGTCCCCCTTAGAAAAAGATGAAGAGTGAGTTAATCTAAGATTAAAAGTTAACCAACACTTGTGAAACTGGCCCTAAGTCGCTAAAAATAACATTTTTAATGCTAAGGCGAAGAATTGTACACGAATAATATCATAATAGACTACCAAAATCTAGTCCTGACCGAATTGGCGCTTCCTCTAAACTGATTGAAAAAATTCCATGTAATCTCTCTATATAATTTGTATAATATAATTTTTAATTTAACTATATGTATAATTATACATTTCGTTATTTCTGGTCTAATCGTTTTCTTTCTGCATATTAAATAACAAAAAATTAATAAACCTATTTATATTAACAAAACAGTACTTGATTTAATCACCAATTAAGTTAAACAGATAGTTTGGTCGAAGTCGTTCGAAGATACGTGAACTGTGCGAGAGATGTTGACCTGTCTCGATGGTCAGAGGAAAAATCGACCTCAAGTCGGCCAAGGAATGCGCGTATATAAGCTCTAATACAGCATATACTTCCACAGATGCGTTTTATCTTAATTACTTTCAAAAGACAAAAATGAGAGTGCTAAAATCTTAACGAACAAAACCTGACATTTTTTGGGGTCATCTTATCGCAGCAAGACAATATCCAACAGGGAAGAGATTAGCTTTATAACGGTACAATGCCATGATGCCAAGAGGAGAAACGTGTGGCACTATGCACATCCTCCCTCCCATCCTTAAATTCTCAATTCTCGTTGTTTAACGGAAATAACGGTCTCTCCAAGAGACTATCGTGAATTTCTTAATTATAAAATTGATTGCCGATCGATTAATTAAATAATTGAATAATTGCATTTTATGACATATTCATAAGTTTTTGCATTCGGGATAACAAGCCTCTTTTTACTCTTTGAGGCCATCGTGCAGTGCCCCACGTTTCCTATAGTGAGCTTGACAGTTTGCGCCGAATGATGCATTTTTACGTGCATGTGTCGGGAGCGAGCATTACTTCGAAATCAATTTTTCGGGCCCTCGTCTTGTCCGCACGACGTTTTTAACTGTTGAAATCGTTACTGTGCGCTCTGACGGTATACACAGCGTTGCCAAGTTTACACGCAAAATCAATGCCGTAATAAAAGTAATAATAAAGCCGTTGAGTAAGAGCAAATCCTCGTATGCAAAATGGGGTTTTTTCGTAACGGAAGAATATTCTCGGAATCGCTTAATTTATTTGTTAAGGACATCTCGTCGCAGAATCGTGAACCCTCTCCACTAATTTAATATAATTAATAACTTTTGCCAATATATTTTTTTCGTCAAAAAGAACTACAAGGGGAAAGTATACCGAAAGTTAATTTGCCTTCGTTAACGAGAGAGATTAGCTATTTCTCTACGTACAACATACAGAAACTCAAGACAAAATTTCAAAAAATATCTTGAAATTTAGCAAAAAATGTTTTTTGTTTTTAAATCTATAATATAATATTTTCTACTGTACGGGAGTTTTTCTAGGTCACAGACCGTGTAAAGGAATTGAAGGAATCAGTGCAAGAACGAGATGCAGTCCCGTGACTGAGCTTACTTCTACGTTGTCCATATTTTTAAGAAAGTGTGGATATTTAAAGTATTTAAAATACGTTTGCGTGTATATAAAAAATAAAGATCGTACAAGATGCCACGCGTTTTTTAATGCCAAAAACGTTCCCGTGAATTGCAAAACGGGTTGGAAATAAACTCTCCGATTTCTGAAATCTATTTCGGACACGAATCTGTATCCAGGGTAAATTTTCTAATTTATTGACTCACCTAATTCCCGTTCGAAACCTCTTTTTAATTTTAATTGCGATGAATCGAGGCCGCTGCTGTTTCTAGACTTGATCTTTTGCATTTATATTTGTTTGCGTTCGCATAAAAAAATATTTTCTTTCTGCATCGCGATTGTGACAGTCAGTTCGACGATCAACGATGCAACGTTTCCTTGTCACAGAAATGATACTTGCATCCGTGCAATTAATCGCATAACCGCGACGAAGTTGGTCGTTTTTAATTTGCCTTTTTTTCTCTCGCGATTTTTTTTTTTTTTTTTTTTTAGCAACGAAAAGGACAACAAACTGACTATAGCGCGTTTATTTGCAATCCTTCAAGGCAAGAACAGCAACGCGAGTACGGCAAACGTGACGGAGAAGCAGTATTTCTCACGATTTCACCATATCTCTGTTTAACACGTGTAATCCAACGCCGTTATACTTTTACCGGTGGTTCGCAAGTTTAAGATTAACAGCGATACGGTCACGCGCGCAAAGCTTCCAGTCTAAAAATTATTTATAATAATTTCATAGCAATAATAATAAGAAGAATGCCCGTTATGAAATCACAATTTCATTATAACATCTCGAATAAATGCATCGGGATATTTTACTTTTTCGAAATTATAATTAAAAAAATTAATATATCAAGTACTAACGAAGCACAATTGACTTCGATCGTTGCGACTGATGACATTTGATTTGACAGCGTTACAACAGAAAACACGATAAATACGTATTGACGCGCGGATACTCTCGGAGTTATTAAGGCATGTTGTCAATGTGGGTTATTTCGTGAATAGATGGTCTTTTTTTCGAAAGCTTTATCTTAATTTTCATAAAATAGGCGACTTTTCTTAATTTTCAAAAATAATTGTAACTCTTCGACTATCAATGACGGAAATATCCGCACATTCAAAAAAGATTTATACCGGAACAATTAGAACGGGATACTATATTTTTATGTTTTTGAAATCGCTGAATTCAAATCTGAAATCAAAATTGCAAAATTCAAAATGGCGGATCCAATATGGCGGACCGTCAATATAAAAAATTGTTCATTTGCATAAAAATTTTAATTTATTGAAAACTGCTGATTTCAAATTTAGAATAAAAATTCAAAAATTTAAAATGGCAAATCCAATATAATGGGCAAAAATCGAAGTATGATTTAATTTTGAAGGGTTTTTAAAACTGTAAATTCTGTTTTTAAAATTAAAATTTGTTAGTTTAAAATAATGCGATTCAATAACGGCCAAAAAATTTAAAATATTAAGTACTCAATTTGCATAAAAATTGATTTATAAGAATTTTTATAAATTTTTACGTTTAAAATATACTTAAATCTAAAATTTTTATAGAAATTTAAATTCAATCACTCAAAAAATTCCCAGCAAGTATCCTTTTTATAATTTTAATTTTTCGACTATTTATATTTTATATTTTTATGACCAAATATTGTATTGAATTTGCGACTTGCACTTGAAAAAGGCCAAAACCAATAAAATCGAAACGTTGCGAAGATTACGATTTAATAAATGTGGCCAGTCGGGTCGAATTAAACAATTATCTTTGTTAATTATTACTGGCGAAGAAAAGGATTACTTTTAATCTTATTTTTTATAAAGTGGACGAGAAAAGATCCAAAACCTCTGTGAAGTTAGCATCCCAATTTTGAAATTCTGATATAATTGATGGAGTTCTGACTCTTTCCCAAAAAATTGAGTTCCTGAGATCCAAAACGAAAATTTTTCGAACTACGAACGATCGGTTAACAATCAATGAAATTTCAGTTATTAATCTCAATTAAGATCGTGTATATCATAGGTGAACATTTTTAATGAAAAGAAAGATATTGATTTCAGGCTTTTTGAAAGCAAACTTCTTTGAGTGTCGTCGATGTTTCTTTGACGACTTTCGAAGAGTTTTGCTCTCGAAAGTGATGTTTTCTAACATAAAAGAGAGGATGTATGTGTAAACAGTGTCCGTGTTCCGATTCTAAGATGTTATTGTAAACGATCTATGACGATATCCTGTTATACTATATATGTTACAGTTTTCACTTTTATGTTAGAAAAATTTAAATAGACATAGATTTTACAGTTTTAACTAATATAATAAATTTCGACAAATTAATTTCAGTAGGATGTCCGAAATTTCCCTCTCCCGCGTTTTCCTCTTTTTATCCGTCGATTTTCTTTCTACGACAAGAGCGAAGGAGAATCAAAGTAGAACCCAATTGCTGATAAATCACCGACCAAAAAACTGATGATTCTAGATTAGACTGTTTTTCTGTAACCATGTAAGAGATTACTCCTATCTCCACAAATCTCGAGTGTTGAAATTATCGCGCAGCACAAAAAAAAATTTAAATCGCGGATATAAAATCGGCGATCCGAGATCCTGAAGCTCCTGTACTTTACAATCAAAACTCCCTATCCTGACCACCATTTTGGGTTCCTGGCATTGTTTACCGATGCAAGCGTGCCCGTCATTACGTCCACGAAGTGCAGCGAAGAGAGGAAGTTGGTACACAATACATGGGTTCGTTCGCACAGGAGCGAGTCCAAGAGATTTCTGCACGGTGGGGGACGAAAATGCGGCGCGGAGGGGAAGGAATCGGAGGGAGGTGACGGCGGTGGGTGGCGGACGCGAGAGGCGCGGAGCACCTGGCCGCTGGCGTCTGGCGGACGTGATACGGCCCTGACATGTCGTTCTCCACGAGCGTGTCGCGTGTCGCAAGCGTGCCACTAGCGTGTGCCGCGTTGAGGAAAAGCGTACGGGATCGAGCCGATTCATACGGGGCAACCGATGCGGCATGCGAGGCACAAGCTCGCATTGCATTCGCGCTCTGACGCTCTCTTTCTCTCTTACCGCTCGTTCGTGCTCTTTCTCTCTTCCTCGCTCGCCACTCTCTCACACACACATACACGCGCACGCACTCACGCTCACGCACACCACGACCGCGAGCGGACTGGTCGCAGCTCCCGCCTCCCGCCATTTCTACATGACGGCCGCGACGTGCCTGTCGAACAGCTGCCGACCGCAACTCTCGTCGTGCCCCCCGGACGAAACGATCGTCGTCGCAACGCACGCGACACACGCACTCCGTCTCGCGCCGGATTGCCGCGCTTATTTAAATTCACACTGACCGTTCGTTCCGCGCGCCGGCGAACACCTGCGGTGGCACACGCGGCTCCCAACGTCGCCCACGATACGTCGGCGTTCCTCGTGCGTGAGCCGACGACCCGCTCGCATGCACTTGGTGTTTATTTCAGCCGCGAGACGCAGGACGTCACCGATCCACTCCTCTTACCACCGTCGGCGAAACTGCAAAGATGGCGACCGCCGTCACGTGACCCGCGATGTTTTATGACGTATCCGCGAATATTAAAGGGCCGGCGGCCGGCCAGTCGCGTTTGTTGTACGTCGTCACGTGACCGCGTGCACGTGCACGTCCAATGAGAAAGATGCTGCCCTAAGAATAAGAGCAAACTGCAGTCAAAATGGCGTAAACGGGGTGGACACGGCCGCCCAGCGTTCGCCCTTTTCGACGTGGAATTGATATGATGATTCATCATAGGAATTGCTTCGAATTTGAAAAGAAATGGAAATCGGCTTTTTTTTTTACAGGAATAGTTATACACAAATCGACCCCTTCGATCATTTGCAGAACGTTATTGCGAATGCGAAGATTCTACATGGTGTTTCACATTCGTAAATTTGATTTTAATAGTCTCTGAGCTATAATTGCATCGTATATGCGTCATACGTTTCGATTATCGAATATATTTGCAAAATATAATGCGGAGAAAGTAGAAAAATATCCTTTTTTCAAATAGATCGTCCTATTTATATTTCACTTGAATAACATTTTTATAAAAAAGGAATCGCTATAACCTCTTAAAAATATTTGCTGTCGTATTCATATTTACACATAAATAAAAAGTCAAATTTTTCAAGTTTTTTAAATAAAATATCTTATTATTACTCATTCTCTAATAATATTAGCTATAATGATTCTTAAATTAATAAAATAATAGTAATGTACATTCCCAGATAGCACAGTGCGTCAAATAACGTTATAATGCCGTCAAAGTGACGTCTCTTACGACAACAATCCGTCACTTTGACTGCACTATTACGCCACTTGACGCCACTGTGCTATCTCTGGGTTACTATTTACAAAAAATATTGTTTATATCCAAGGTGCGGAAAAACTAGAGGTGCAAACTTCTGGAGATGGTAGAGGGGAACTCATAAAGTGGTAGTCAGAAATGTTTTCTTTTTGCTTAAGCACTGGTTATAGGCCGATTGGAACACAAAACGCCTATGCCAAAATGTTTTATTTGATCCAAACGTGGAAATTTCCTTTTGTAAAGGTAACTTGTAACTCAGTATACAGTACACAGTATACGAAAGGAAATTTTTGCTCACTTCTTTGGAATTGTCACACATAATTATACACATGCGTTACAATGCCTTTTCACGTGAAGAAAGCTACGTTTGAATCAAATAAAACGTTTTCGTATAGGCGTTTTGTGTTCCAATCGTCTCTTTACCCAATGCAAAAAGGAAGCATTTCCGACTACCACTTTATAAGAAAAAAAAAAGGAAAAAAAAACACATTTTATTCCAGTCCCCTCTACCATCTGTAGAAGTTTGTACCTTTAGTTTTTCTACACCCTGTACATAAAACGTAATATGTACACTCAAGTAAGAATTTATATTCAATGTTATCCAATGTCATCTTCATCATTGTCATTAGCATCGAAGGACAGTACAACTTTTTGCTTTTCTTTTTTTGCTTTCTTTTTTACAGGTTTATCGGTGGCAATTGTGTCAGAATCCGTTTCTGCCACTTTAGTCTTGCGAAATATGATCTTCTTAGACAGGTCAGCTGGGGCATTATTTTCTTCTGCAATTGATAACTCTGATAGATTAACATTGAAAATTACATGTTTATACAATGTGTTTTATTACATAATACTATATTCAATAATATGTGCAGATTTAGAGCAACTCTTTATTGTTACCTTTCTCTTTTTGTTTTTTAAAGGCATCTGCTTCTTCCGCTGTTAAATCACCAGAATTTAATATGACAACAACAGGTTTTTCATCAGTCAACTCTTCCTTCTCATCGTCGAATATTTCTGGTAGAACTTCCCTCTAATTTAACAAATAAGTTGAGTAGGTATAAGTATTCTATTTCTGTCCTACTTTTAATACTATTAATTAACCATAAATCGTACAAAATATGAACAAAATAATTGTTAAATCCAGAGCAAGTAAATTACGGATGCCTTACCTTCGTATCGACAGTAGGGCCTTCCTTGTATCCAATTTTTTCCTTCAGCTCTCTTAGAAATTTTGGTTCATCCGGTTTGATGTACGATATATTGTGCTTTTTCCGCGACATAATTTTTTTTTTAACTTGACGTCTTCACGAAACGCACGAAACTATTTGAAAAATGATAACCTGTCACAATCACAAACTGTAAACAGAATTCCGTCGCGAGGTAGTAATGGACGATTCACATTGCACTCGAAAATTCATAGAGAACACAACGTTCCGACCAGGTTCCGACACACCCAATAGAAGATTGCGTTTTATAGGGACATTAACATTACATTTTGGTCTCTATAAAACGAACATTCCTATTGGATATCATCACTGGGCTTAGGGCCGATATCACAGTCTCCTGGCCTGCGTTCTGAAACCTTACTCGAGTTAACTCTAGTTAACTCGAGGCGTTCAGAAATGCCGAGTTGACCCATTTGTGGCGTTCAGAAACACGCTTGAGTCAACTCTCGAGTTAACTATTTCTACCCACGTCGAGGAGGTAGGTAGAAATTACTCGACATGCGCACATATATAGATTCCGTCACATAAGGGGCACATAACGCATGTTCTCGAAACACGCCTTTTTTAGGTTAAAGTTATTCACAAGAACCGGCGAACAAAAAGGGATACGGACACTATTTTCCTGATGTGCTGCCATATTTTCACTCATATTCAATGCTTGATGGGAGAGCGCCATGTTAACCCGTGATGTTACTTTCGTCGTCCATAAACGACAGTAACCCGAAGTCAACTCTAACTCTACTCCTACTCTACCTGGGTAAAAGTTTCTGAACGCAGGCCTGCAGTCTCCGCGTGATCCTCCGATTAAGGTTGTATGACCCGTAAGATCTCTGCCAAAAGTTTAAGAAACGTAACATAAAGCTAATTAACATATTTAAGAAGATATTCTTTACTGGAAAGTAATATTTATATTAATATTTTATTAAAATAACGGTTGCTTGTGTTTTTAAGAGCTATAGAGACATTTTTATGCATATTTTCTCGTATGCAAACTTTCACTTTTAATGATTTTTAGAAAGACTGTACCTGACTTGCAACTGACACAAACGAAAATCTGAAAGTGTGAAAATCTTTAAAAAGTAACAAAACATAGTAATTACTGTTTAAAAATACTAATGAAATTATATTACGTTATTTATTTACGTCATTTATTAATAAATTAAATACAATAGCTCTCATAAAAAAGTATTTTGATCGCGACAACGTCGCATTTTTCTGTAAGTTGGTAGCATTGATCTCACTCGACATCAGCTGCGTGAACGCGAAGTGTGTGCTCTGAGCAACCTCTATGAAGTTGGCCGGACAACTTCAACGTATCGAACTTTCATTAATTGGAATCGATTGGTGGTCGTTTGGTGGTCTTTGGTAGTCTAGTCCGATCGTTTGGTGGTTAGTCGTTTTCCTGTAAAATAAAAATGAAATTTCCGGTGTGAAGTTAGCCGGACAATTTTTATTTTTCAACCAATTTAACTTTTTTATAGCTCATTTGACGCGGAATCGTTTGGTGGTCACGAATATCACCGGTAAAACGTTTGGTGGTCAACCGTTTTCCCAGAAAATAGAAAAAACCGTATGCGCATAATGCCGTATTCGGAACAATTGTATTTATCACCCAAATTGACTTTGATAGGGCTCAATCGACGCGGAATCGTTTGGTGGTCACGAATATCGTCATTAAAACGTTTGGTGGTCAATCGTTTTCCTAAGAAATAGATAAAACCGTACTCTCACGCCATTGGTCGTATGATTTCGTGACGTTAGCTCAGTAATTTGATGGATAAACATTATTTATCAATCAAATTGACTTTCATACGGCTCAATCGACGCGGAATCGTTTGGTGGTCACGAATATAATCAGTAAAACGTTTGGTGGTCAACCGTTTTCCCAGAAAAAAGAAAAAACCGTATGCTCACGCCATTGGTCGTATGACTCTGTGCTATTAGTCAGAAAAATTGTATTTGGCACCCAAATTGACTTTAATAGGGCTCAATCGACGCGGAATCGTTTGGTGGTCACGAATATTGTTATTAAAACGTTTGGTGGTCAACCGTTTTCCTAAGAAATAGAAAAAACCGTACTCTCACGCCATTGGTCGCATGATTCCGTGACGTTAGCTCGGTAATTTGATGGATAAACATTATTTATCAATCAAATTGACTTTCATACGGCTCAATCGACGCGGAATCGTTTGGTGGTCACGAATATAATCAGTAAAACGTTTGGTGGTCAACCGTTTTCCCAGAAAAAAGAAAAGACCGTATGCTCACGCCATTGGTCGTATGACTCTGTGCTATTAGTCAGAAAAATTGTATTTGGCACCCAAATTGACTTTGATAGGGCTCAATCGACGCGGAATCGTTTGGTGGTCACGAATATTGTCATTAAAACGTTTGGTGGTCAACCGTTTTCCTAAGAAATAGAAAAAACGGTACTCTCACGCCATTGGTCGCATGATTCCGTGACGTTAGCTCGGTAATTTGATGGATAAACATTATTTATCAATCAAATTGACTTTCATACGACTCAATCGACGCGGAATCGTTTGGTGGTCACGAATATCGTCATTAAAACGTTTGGTGGTCAACCGTTTTCCCAGAAAAAAAAAACTGTATGCTCACGCCATTGGTCGTATGACTCTGTGCTATTAG